GAGAAGCTTAGACATCGGTCAAAGCATTGCTTTGTTCGATCAGATCTTATTAAAATCTGACCCTCATATTAAAATATGATTAAATTAATTTTTAATGGTAAATATATTATAAAATGAATTAGAAAAAATAAACAATTGTTTATATTTGTATTGAATTTTATTAATCAATTTCAATTACATTGTTAATTTATGTATAACTAATTTTCCAAAAAACAACTTCCTTTCGAAATAAATAATGGGCTTAAATCTTTCCCTGAATGATTGACAAACTCTCCTTTCAAGATATATGTTCCATATGCTTTTAATATAATTTATTCAGATATTACAAGAATTTAATAATTAGAAACTAAATAACAATTAAAAATATATACCTGAATGAAGGTTATTTTAAAATAAAGGGGTGTTAAATTATTCAAGAGTATCTTTGTAACTTTTATTTGCTGCTGATCTTTCTTTTGCTGTCTTAACATCCCATAAGCAGATAGAGTTATCTGTAATGCCAGATGCTAATGTATTTCCATCAGGAGAGAAACAGACTGATTTTACATATCCACTATGACCACTTAATTTGGCTTTTTATTATGCTGTTTTTACATCCCATAAACGGATAGATTTATCACAACTGCCAGATGCTAATGTTTTTCCATCAGGAGAGAAACTGACTGAATCAACAGTGCTAGTATGACCATCTAATTTTGTGTATTATTATAATGTTTTAATTTTCCATATAAGGATTGAGTTATCATCACTACCAGACGCTAATTTATTTCCATTAGGAGAGAAACAGACAGAGCAGACAGCGTAAATATGACCATCTAATTTGGCTTTTTATTATCCTGTTTTTACATCCCATAGCCGGATAGATGCATCAAAACTGCCAGATGCTAATGTTTTTCCATCAGGAGAGAAACAGACTGATTTTACAATGTTAGTGTGGCCATCTAATTTGTCTTATTATTATTCGGTTTTTACATCCCATAGGTGGATAGATGTATCAGTGCTGCCAGATGCTAATGTTGTTCCATCAGGAGAGAAACAGACTGAGTATACAAATCCAATGTGACTATCCAATATGGCTTTTTATTATCCTGTTTTTACATCCCATAAACGGATAGATTTATCAATACTTCCAGATGCTAATGTTTTTCCATCAGGAGAGAAATAGACTGATTAGACAGCGTGAGTATGACCCTCTAATTTGGCTTTTAATTATCCTGTTTTAAAATCCCACAAACAGATAGAGTTATCTATACTACCTGAAGCTAATGTAAATTCATCAGGAGAGAAACAGACAGATGTGACCCAATTAGTGTGACCATCTAATTTATTTTATTAGTATTCAGTTTTTACATCCCATAGCCGGATAGACTTATCACTACTGCCAGATGCTAATGTTGTTCCATCAGGAGAGAAACAGACTGATAATACATTTCCACAATGACCATCTAATCTGGCTTTTTATGCACCTTTTTTTACATCCCAAAGACGGATAGATGTATCACTACTGCCAGATGCTAATGTATTTCCATCAGGAGAGAAACAAACTGATTTGATAATGCTATTATGATTATCAAATTTTGCTTTCAATTATCCTGTTTATAAATCCCATAAAATAATTGTTTCTACTCTACCAGAAGCCAATATATTTGCATCAGGAGAGAAACAGATTGAGTAGACAGTTTCACTATGATTATATAATTTTTCTTTTTATTATCCTTTTTTAACATCCCATAGAAGGATAAACTTATCAGTACCGCCAGATGCTATTGTTTTTCCATCAGGAGAGAAACAGAGAGAGATTACCCAATTATTGTGACCAACCAATTTGGCTTTTTATTATCCTGTTTTAGTATCCCATAAAAGGATAGCCTTATCATTACTACAAGAAGCTAATATATTTCCATCAGGAGATAAACAGACTTAGTTTACCTCGCAAGAGTGACCATCCAATTTTGCTATTTGTTTTTTTATGTTTACATTCCATAGACGGACAGACTTATCCATACTACCAGATGCTAAAATATTTCCATCAGGAGAGAAACAGACTGATTAGACAGTGTTAGTATGGCCATCTAATTTGGCTTTTTATTATCCTGTTTTTACATCCCATAGGCGAATAGATTTATCAGTACTGCTAGATGCTAATGTTTTTCCATCAGGAGAGAAACTGACTGACTCCACACATCCTTTCTCACCATCAAATTTATTTAACTCATGTATTTTTAATTTTTTCCATTTACAATTTACTAATAAAGCTCCATTCAAATTCATTCCACTTATGTTAACATTGTTCAATTCAGATCCTGATAAATTACATCTAACAAAATTAGCTCCCAACAAAGAGGTATTTTAGATCTTAATATTTTAAAAATTTTTATTTCTCAGATCAACCTTCATCTAAACTAAGACATGTAATGAATTTGACCCACATTGAATTAAAGTTTTATCTATGTATGTGAGATTAACTAAAAATTACAAAAATTCTATTATCTATCTCTCATCCTTTATTCTTTTTATTAGATAGTGGACAGCTTCTTAATATTCATCAAAAGAATAGTCTGTTTTATTAAATTCATGATCTTTTAGTTTTGTTAAGACATTAGCTATTTGTTAAATGTTATTTCTAACAACATACAATTTTTACTCATTAGCGACTAGTTTTAAATTCTCCCTTTGAAAGATGTGTTATTCTAAAATTCTTTGATTTCCATTGTCTGAAAGATATCCAATGCAGCATTAAACTTTTTCCTTTTGAAAAATTTCTAATATGACTCCAAAAATTTGTTCGTTTACATCTTTAACTTCAGCAAAGATTTTAGTTAGAGCTTCCTTCTAAAAAGTACCTTACATTTTTTTTTTATTTTAATAATTAATTTTTATTTACCAAACTTTGGGTTTAATACTGAAAATCAATAAAAGTATCTTTTTTATATCGGAAAATAGAAGTTGAGACTTTGTGTAGATTTGGAATTGTTTTTAATTGATGTGCTATCTGTTTTCGAGAAATCATTTCAACATTTGTGTTGCTTGCCACTTTAAACTCATAGAATATCCAATTTTCTTATGAATAATTTCTACTTAATTTGAGTACTATTCTGGATCATTAAATATCTTGTTAATCCTCTTTTTAGTCATGTAAAATAGTAATTTTTCAGCTAACTATCAAAAAATTGGAATATGTCAGAAAAAAATCTTGCTCACTCCTTGCTAAAAAGCTTAGAGATGATATATTTCTTTATAATTAGAAAAAACTCTCAGTTTTAATTTATAATTTATTTCATATCTTTACCCTTTTGATAAATTTTATTTTTTTGATTATTTTTCCAGACAATTACTCTGTTTAATTTCTGATATTTTTTAGAATCACTAAATAGAAATATAATTCATTTTAAGAATAATTTAAAATAGGAAAATAATATTTATGATTCAATATATTCTTATTAAGATCATCTTAAAACTTATTATAACTATGATTCCAAAGTTGATTTAAGATAAAATCTATTTAATCCTTTATTTTAACTCTAATGGCATCAAATGTATCAAATGCATCTTTTATTCTTTTAAGATAAATTAAGAAACTACTAATTATCCCTCAAATAGTTTTGTAAAAATTTCTAGTAAAGTTTCAATAAAGTGATTAATAAGATAATGTTAAATTTTTAATTCTTTTTGACACATTTTATAAATAAGAGTTTAATTTAATTCTATATACTCTATTAAATTAAAGCCTACAATGTTTGCAATTATTTAATCAAAACTCAAATTTCTTTCATTAGGATTATTGCAAAGCTTTTTATGCTTGCGGATCTATTCTAAAGGTGATTTATTTTAAAAAAAATAAGTTAAGGTATTTAGATAGTGATAATAAGATTTAAGGGATAAATTTTATAAATAGAATTTAGAAAAAATTGTAATTATTTAAAAGAAGTTTTATGAGTAACAGAATTCAATCTTGGTATCTGGGTAAAATATCTTTAATTATTTTTTTCACATCAACCTTTAGAATTAAAGATGAAAACCTTTTTTAATTCAAATCATAAATGTAATTTGAAGTATCCAAAATAATTTTCTGATGTTATTTGTTAATCAAAATACACACATACATTCTAATTAAACTTTAAAAAATTATTTTTAATGAAAATAATTCGACTGCATGAAACCAGACGTAAATTAAATAAGTGGTTAAAGATGCAAATTCATAGTCGAGACTTGAAACTAGGAGGGACTCTGAGAGATTGGGTAAGCCTAGGTTTCTTGAACAGCTATGGAGGAAATATCTAACTTTTGTTCAGAAATATGATGTCAGGCCGATCGTCAGTCCGTTAGTGCTTTGGTCCTAGAAGCCTCCATACTGTTTAAAACAGACTAGGGGTGTTGAGTTTCCCTGAACCTGTCCAAGGCTCTAACCTCTTCTGAATCTGGCTTCCCTGTGGAATGGATTGGAAAGACAAGTTTGTTATTTAAGAACCTTCTTTAAGGAGAATTTTTATTATAATGTAATAAATTTCGAACATTATCAATGATGCATATTCGTGGGACACGAATAAAGTCATAGAAGTTTTTAACTAAAAAAGATTCCAATGATTTATTCCCCTTGCATATTCTTCAATATTATTATTTTTATTTAAACTTTATGTGCTATTTCATCTTTTTTCGATGAACTTAATTCTATTTATCTTCCATATTATTAGATGTAACTCTGGATTATTTTATTTCTAAATTTTAAATTGTAAAAATTTTCAAATAACAAAAGTATTGAATATTTTCTCTAATATTTTTTGAAAATAGTAAATAAAATATATGACTAAATATTAAATAAATTTTTTGTAATTTTAACTAGATGAAGAAAAAAAATGATACAAATCAATATCATTTATGCTAAAATTACTTTCTCTTTAGTTTAATTTGTTGAAGCTTTCTTTTAACAAAACTTTACAATTTCATTTATATCCAAGGTTCATAGGAAATGATTTCTCATTAAATAAAAATTTTATAAATATTAAAATTTTTATTAGAAAATGTAATTGAAAACAATTTTAATTAATACTCATTAAAAACATAATTAAAAAGGATTTAGAAGAATTTGATTTAATTCGAAAATTTATAAATTGAACATGAATTTGAAATTCTATTATAAAATTATAAAGGTAATTATAATTATGAGACTACTCTAAAATTTGATAAATTGGAAGATTATAATCAACTCAATAATTCTATTTATTAATTTTTTCCATCATTTACAAATAATCAGTCTTACACTTAAGTAATTGATATAATATTATAGAATTAGAAAATTGGAAAATCAAAAGAAATAAAAGTATTTCATTTTTAAAAAGAGAAAGACGTAGATAAGATAAATCAGCAATTTTTATATATATTCATATTTAGAAAATAAAATCTCTTTGAAAAACTCTAATCAAACAGTCTTCAATGTACATGTCATTTAAGACTAAAAACAGAGGGTATAATTTGATATGCAAAGTAATGAAATGATTATAATGAATAAAGAAAATTTAATAGCTAATATTGAAAAGTTATGTAACAAGAATTTCTTGTCATATCATAAGTACAATAATTATATATTAATTTTTATTTGAGTATTTTAACTTATTTAAATCATCTAAATAAATTATAAATATTGATAATAATTGTTAAAAATAAATAATTTTAAATTTAAATTAAATTAAAATAATTATTTTGCATAATCCTTTTCAAAAAAGGAAAAATTTCCTTATAAAAATAAAATCTAAAATATAATATATTATTTTCATTTGATTTATAAATATTATTTAAAGTTTACGAACCTTAATTTTTACTAGTTTAATCTATTAAAAAAAGTAAGGATATTTAGTAATTCAAAATTGGATAACAACTCACTCAATTATTTTTTAATAAATAAAAAAAATTTTGACTTTATTAATTCATCACATTTAAGATTAAAAGATATTAAGATAATGATATTTTGTAATATTTCAAAATATGAAAAATAGATGATGGGATCAACAGAATCAAATAAAAGAGAGAATCATATATGTTGATGATTCATAAAAGAAATAAGCTCATTTAATACTCTATTATTAATAATAGTTAGATATTTTTCGTTAAAATGTTAAAAAAATAATAGTAATAAAATGATGAAACTTATGTATATCCTTTCATAAATCAAATCACTAAAACAATTGAAATAAATTCTTGATGGATAAATCTTCAATGAATAAATTTTTGATCCTCAAAAACTCACAAACTGGTTAGAATAGTAGGAGTAAAAAATATTTTGGATTTTTGAAAATAAAGTCTAGTAAAACAACATTAGCTAAGAAGATAATTTTTATTAGTAGGAAAACTCTGATTAGATACCCATTTATATAGATTTAACTAAAATAGAATAGATGAAAGATCCACCATAAGATATTATTTTCAAAACACTTTATAAGCCAAACCATTTAACTTTTGTGATTGGTAGATTTACAATTTTTTAAATGTCGAAGATAAGGAAAAGGTATATATCTTATTTGAATGTTATGATTAATTGAGTTTAGATTTCAAGAAACAAACCTTAAATGAAATGCTTGGTTATAAAACTGGGAATATAATAAAAAATTCTTTAGAATTTATGAAAAATAAGTTAAAAACCTGGTAGCATTTAAATATTACCATTAAAGAATGATTGAAATTGAAATAAAAGAATTTAATGAAGAATAGTAGAAAGAATATATTGACTTACCGTGAACAAATAAATCTTAAGCAATAATATTAACATTAATATTAGGTCATTTACTTAAATGATCTATATTAAGATTGAAGAAGGTTAAATTTTGATTAATAGATAAGAACATTATAAATAGATTGAATCTTCATAAAATTAATAATTCAAAAATTTATAAAAGATCTTATTAAATTTCTAATAATTAAACTTCCTGATGAAGAATACATTCGTTGTTTGCTTTCATTTCATTATTGATTCGAAATGTTGATTGATCAAAGTTTATCTCTAAATCCTAAAAGCCAATCAAAATAATTATAAATCTCTAATTTTAAAATTTAAGAGAAAAAATTTTGAAAATAGAATTAATCATAATTACTCCTCTAAAATAAATTCACCTTCTTTAGAAATAGATTGATGAGAATTTGGTACAATTGATATTGATAATATTTTTGATAGAAATATGTTTATAAAATGTATTACAAATCCTTCGTTTACAAAATATGAATATCTTAATTCTCTTGTTGAATAATTCATCCAAGATTCAATTCAAGAAAAGAATTTTGCTTGTTCATAACTCTCAATAACAAAGGAAAAAGTACTAAAATTTTAGATTAATATGGTAATATTAATATAATGAGATTATAAACTATACAAAATAACAAAATGAGTACAATGTGCAGAAAACGAGAACAATGAGTGAACTCTATAGATAAAACTATAAAGATATTGTGTTTAAAATAATTAACAGATTAAATCTTCAAATTTATTTTATTGCCAAAGTTCTATATTAAGAAGTTATAGAATTTGGTAAAAATACTTCAACTTTACCTTGTTATTTAATGAAGTAAATTTATGTAAAGAAAATTATTCAGGAGTAATTGCTTTACTTAAAGAGTAATTCTCAAAAACATCTAATATTAAGTAAATACTTATTAATAATTATCCAAAGATAGGTAATATCAAAGATCTTCATCTAATAGTATTAATCTTTTATCAATTCTTAAGCTATTTTTAGAATAAGAAAATTAAGATGAAATAGTTATATCTGATAAAAAATCCACAGTTTTAGTTTGTTTAAAGCAAGTTTATGTGATTTACATTGGGAAAATTTTGATGTGAGTTATTGAAATTTCAATTAAGCAAACTTAACAAATTCTAAATTAGATAAAATAACAGGAATAGAAGAACATTAAATAGTTAGAGAAAATGGAATTATATTGTTAGTATTGGAGGAAAAGAGTAGTATTTTTGGACTAAAAAATCAGAAGCTATATCTAATTGGAATATCAATAAAATTCTAGAAATATGCAATTCTAATAATAGTTAAATTAAAAGGAATTAATTTGATAAATATAACTATATCAGCTTTTTAAGGGATAATTCAATAATTTCTGTTTCGATCGAATAAAATCAATAGGATTAAAATAATTCAATAAATTCATAAATTATGATTATAGATTATGATAAAGTTGAACTAATAAGCAAATTGACAAATGATCATAATTGTAATTCCATTTGTTTCTTGACCTCAAAAGAAATATTATGTTAACATTTTCAAATTCTTACTTGAGTTTTTGGAATTATAAGAAAAATAATATAATAAATATTATTCCAAAAGAAATATGAAATTATTACAAAAAAAATAGCAACAAATCATGATGATACTAAAATAGTCTTATTAAAATGATAAAAATAAAATTAGATAATTTAATGAGGAGATTGGATTATACATAATATATAGAATCATGCAAAGACATGAGTGTTAATTGCTTTTATGTATCCGATTGCCATTAATCTTTGGCACTGTTCTTTTCAAATTAAGTTAAAACATATGATTGGGATTTAATGAGATTAAAAATTTTTTCATGCAATTCAGAGATAATGAAATTAATTCTGCATAATTAATAGGTTAGCTACCATTCAAAGCAAAATAATTAAATTTCAATTATTAATCCTAAAATTTGGCTATAATAAGAGAATAAATTTACATTTATGATATGAATAAAATAACATGCCCAAATCTTCTCGATAATCAATTTATAAATTAAAAACTAGGGGCTAGTTTTATTATTGCTGTTTCAGCAAATAATTAATAGCTTAAAATGTAGAGATGTTAAGTTTTTAAGATTAGAAATATTAAAAAGGAATTGAGAAACAAAATGAAAAAATTCTATATATGTGCTTTACTAAAGATAATAAATATTTAGCTATAAGAAGTAAAAAGATAGTTAAAATATCTTTAGAGTTATCAATTTTATAACTTAGGAAACCATTTCCGAATGGACAGAGGATGATTAAAATGAAAAAAAAGAATTTTCGAATGAATTTATATTTTTACAGATTTAGGATAAAATATATTTAATTTCAAATCAAAATTATCAAGTAAACCTATAAGCTGTAACTTAATTATTCCGAGATAAAAAAAGAAATGAAAATTAACAAAATAATTAAACCTTTATATTGAAACCATATGACGAAAATATTGCAATAATAACTTCAATTACAATAAAAATATTAAGCCAATTAATATAAATCAAATCAGTTATTGTTTATTCATCTAAAAATAGAAGTTACCAAGATCTTTTGGTATGATTTAATAATGCTATAATTTCTAGATTTCGCATGACTAATAATTAATTGTTTCATGTGTTTATCTAGATAGAAATTAATCAGATAACTCTTAGATTATTGTTATATGGAAATAAGGGGGTGAATCTCTATATTAATAGTGTTATCAATTGAAAAGTCAAGCTAATACAATAGTAAATTTGTCATAATATAATTCTCTATTCATTCTTACTTTCATGAAATAATAGTTATCAATGATTCAGCAGATATGTATTTCAGATATCACTATATACTGTACGATTCCGTCTCAATAACCTGTTTAATCAATAAAATATTCATCTAATTCACATAATTTTATTGCAATGCGTTTAAATTATAGTTTTTCTCTCTATAAATTACAAAAAGCAAGTAGAGAAATTTAATGGATGATTTATTATTTCATTCTATTTTCTGAATATGCATGAGAATATATAATAGTTTAAAAAATTAAAAAAGTTATCAGTAATTCTAATTATATAATTATATTGTTAATAAACTGAAATACCAATTTATTTTACGTAAAATAGTTTGGATATTATTTACATTTTTTTGCAATAAATGTTTATCAGCAATGCAGCTAATTTGATTTAAATCAATGAATCAACTGGAATCGCATAAATTATTGATTAAAATACAGGTTTCTGTTATTTAGAAACTTTAACTTATTTTACTAATCAAATAAATAAAGATATCTGTTGCAATAATTAAACAAAGATGCCTGATGTATCATCTTAATTTCCTGCAATTGATAAATACTTTTGTTAATTTTAATTAAAAAACTAGAAAAATAGAAATAATCTTAAAAATTCTTTTAAAGAATTAAAATCGATATTTTTAAAAAGAAGAACATAAATTTTATTCGAACATATATTCATTTAATTTTTAGCAAATAAATCATTCATTAGTTATATATTTTAAATAATTTTATCTAAATCTATAAGCTTTTCAACTTAAAATATTCAATAATGATCTTACTATTAAATATTGATTGATATCATTTAATTGATTTATCATTAGTATTCAATTACATCCAAATTCTAGTTTGACAATTAAGATTGTACTTTTTATAGAATATTATTATTTCATTTCAATTTCAGAATTTTATAAGAATTTCCAAATGATTATGAAAAATATTTGATTCTTATTATAAATTATTTAAATTCAAACTATAAATTTAGAAGATTAAAATGGATAAAATAACAAAAATAAAAAGTGCAAAAAAATATACATTTAGTGATTGCTGAATATATTTATAATGAATTGATTGATTTATTTGAGTTTACATTTACTACATAGAATATATAATTTATCTATAACTTCAATTTGTTTGTAAATAATACATCGAAAGTATTATTTATATAGTAATGCATAATTTTGTATGATTAATTTTAATAATATAGTTATATAATAATTAATGATATCATGAAAGCCTTATCTAAAGTTATAAAGTTTAAACTTATTGATACTTCAACTAATAAAGTATTGAATTTGATGTATTAGAGATAAGTTTGGATATATATAAGTTAAATATTTATTCAAAATATCTTTAAAACGAACTACTCTAACATATACAATTGATAATCCTAATGCAGACTTTGATCAAGGCTAACGATTGAATATTCTATTAGATAAAACTTATTATAAAGGATAATAAATAGGATTATCTAAATAAAACTCTATTGATTCAAGATTTAGATCAATTAGTATTATGACCAAAGAGGAAAAAATACAGAAGCTGCTAATCTATTTATGTCATCAGATGAAAATAAAGAAGAATTCTAAGAAGTTATTTTATCTAAAATGTCTCCAATTCCTAGTTATTTGATTGCAATGTTTGCAGATATTGTGAAATATATTTATATATTTTTTTAATATAATATTAAGAATATCCCAAAAATTACGGTAGGTAGAACTTTTTTGGTGAATGTGCTTGACAAAATATAAGCATACACTGATAAACTTAAAGAAATGGAAAAATTTATGAAAGTTGTAGAATATGTACACAGCTTTTTTCAGTGTCTATAAAATCATTGTTAACTTCAAGAGGGTTTTCACAAAATTAATTAATATCTAAACCAAAAAATACCCCTTAAGACTTTAAAAACTCATCAACTGGTTAAATTTTACAATTAAATAAATAAATTATTCATAATTTCTAATCAATAAAAAGCAAATCTATTGAAAAAATTGAAGAAAAAGAAGAATAAAAGTAAACAATATATATCAATAATGCATAATGGAATCTGTTGAAATATTGTAATTTTTCATCTCTAAAAAAATGAGATTAATTACCCTTCAATATTAGAATAATTTGATAAGAAATCTATAGAACAAACAAAAATTTAATACAAGGATCTATGTGGGTTTATGATTAGATATTCTATATTATTAAAAAATTATGAATGTTGAAATGAATAATCATAGCATATTTTACCTCGACTACAATTCATTCTAAATCGACACAAAGTCTTAACTTCTATTTTACTGAAATGCACAAGATACTTTTATTGATTTTTCAGTGTATAAATTTAAGTTAGAGTAATCGAAAATTCATTAATAAAATAAAAAAATGCAGAGCTCTTTTTCAAAGAAGGAAGCTTTTGTTGACATCTTTGATTAAATAAAAGATGTAGATATACAAATCTTTGGGGCCATATTAGAAACATTAGGAAAGGAAAAAGTTAAAGACTGCATTGGATTTCTATCAGATATTGAGAATTAGAGACAATCAGAATCATAAATTTTACAACAAATTGGGAATTTCAACCAAGCTCAGACAGAATAGAAATTTTCTGTTATTGGAAAAGACATTAAATAAATTATAGATGTCTTAAAAAAATTAAAAGATCATGACTTCAATTACAAAGACTTATCCTCTGAAGAAAATGAAGAATCTACATTAAGTTTAATTAATAGTATCAAGGATAATAGAAGGATCATTCAATTTCTGTAATTTTTAGTTCACCTCACATCCATTGATGAAACTTTAATATAGGGTGGGTCTAATTCATTATATTTATTAAGTTTGATGAAGGTGGACCTTAGTAACAACAATTTTGAAAACATAAAAATCTAAAATACTTCTTTGGTGGGAGCTAATTTTGTAAGGTGCAATTTTAGTGGTTCTTAACTTAATAATGTTAATATAAATGGAATAAATTTGAATGGATCATTATTATTGAATTGTAAATGGAAAAACTTAATAATCCAGGAGTTAAATTAATTAAATGGTCATACTCATTATGTCTGCACAGTTTGTTTCTCACCTAATGGAAATACAATAGCTTCTGGTAGTTTTGATAAATCTATTCTTCTATGGGATGTCAAAACAGGATAAAAAAAGGCAAAATTAGATGGACATAGTGGATATGTCTACTCAGTCTGTTTCTCTCCTGATGGAAATACATTAGCCTCTTGCAGTGTAGAAAAGTCTATTCTTTTATGGGATGTTAAAACAAGATAATTAAAAGCCAAATTGGATGGTTATACTAATTATTATTCAGTCTTTTTCTCTCCTGATGGAAATACATTAGCTTCTGGTAGTTTTGATAAATCTATTCTTCTATGGGATGTCAAAACAGGATAAAAAAAGGCAAAATTAGATGGACATAGTGGATATGTCTACTCAGTCTGTTTCTCTCCTGATGGAAATACATTAGCATCTGGTAGTCATGATAAGTCAATCCTTCTATGGAATATGAAAACAAAAAAATAAATAAAAAGGATGGATAATCATAGAATTTCTGCCTTGTTATGTTTCTCACCTGATGGAAATGCATTAGCTTCTGAAATAAGAGATGAGTCAATCTGTTTATGGAATGTAAAAACAGGATAATAAAAAGCCTAATTAAATGGTCATACTAGCAGGATCAATTCAATCTGTTTCTCTCCTGATGGAAATACAATTGCATCTGGTAGTGATGATAAGTCCATCCGTCTATGGGACGCCCAAACAGGATAATAAAAAGCTATATTAGATGGTCATAGTAGTACCGTGTTATCAGTCTGTTTCTCTCCTGATGGAAATATACTAGCATTTGGTAGTTAAGATATGTCTATCCATTTATATGATGTCAAAACAATAAAATAAAAAGGCCAATTGGATGATCCTACTAACTGTATCAACTCAATCTGTTTCTCTCCTGATGGAAATACATTAGCATCTTGTAGTAATGATTAGTCTATCCGTCTATGGGATGTCAAAACAGGATAATAAAAAGCCTAATTAAAGGGTCATACTAGCAGGGTCAATTCTATCTGTTTCTCTCCTGATGGAAATACAATAGCATCTGGCAGTGGCGATAAGTCCATCCATCTATGGGATATACAGACAGGATAATAAAAGGCCAAATTTAATGGTCATAGTGGATATGTCAATTCAGTCTGTTTCTCTCCTGATGGAAATACATTAGCTTCTGGTAGTGATGATGAGTCTATCCGTCTTTGGGATGTCAAAACTGGATAAAAAATAGCCAAATTGGATGGTCATAATGGAGGTGTTACCACAGTCTGTTTCTCTCCTGATGGAAATACATTAGCTTCTGGTAGTGTTGATTTCTATATCAGCTTATGGGAGGTTAAAAGAAAAAAATAAAAAGCCGTATTAGATGGTCATGAGCATTAGGTATCGTCAGTCTGTTTCTCTCCTGATGGAAATACATTAGCATCTTGTAGTTATGATTAGTCAATTCGTCTATGGAATGTTAAAAGAAGATAATAAAAAATCAAATTAGATGGTCATACTAGTTATCTCTATTCAGTCTGTTTCTCTCCTGATGGAAATACATTAGCTTATTGTAGTAATGATTACTCTATTTGCCTAATGGATGTCAAAACAGGATAATAAAAAGCCAAATTGAATGGTCATAGTGATTATATTACTTCAGTCTGTTTCTCTCCTGATGGAAATACATTAGCCTCAGGAAGTAATGATAAGTCTATCCGACTATGGGATCTTTAGAATGGAAAAGAAATTTAATTTGCTGGCAAAACTTATAAAAATATAATTGCATAATTTAACGCACCATTACTTTAAAACGATATTACATCATGTATTTATTTCATTATTATTTTTTAGAATCCAGCTATATTACAATTCTACGAATATCTCAAACACCATTATTTTAAGCATAAGGAGCTTTAATCTCGAAAGGAGATTTTGTAAATTATGAGGGATACGATTTAAGATAATTATTTATATCATAGGGAAGTTGCTTTTTAGAAGACTTAAAATAAAAGTGAATTTGATTATTATCAACATCAATTATAATAAAAACCAATCTTTTGTATTTTTTTAATTATTTCTTTATCAGTTCCACTCTTCATTTTCACTTCTAAAGATAGATAAGTACTTAATTTTTAAAGTTTTATTCCATTTCAGTTATATATACACCTCATTTACTCTTATATTATAAAAATCTATGTTCAGACTAGTGAACAGAATATTAAATTTGTTGAGACTAAACTGAAATGATATTACATTAAAACATTAATCTAAACAGAGAACAGTGAGCACAACGAAGAAAATAAAATAAAGTGTGAAATGATTTTTTTGAAGAATGTAATTTAATAAAACGTCATTCACTTTAAATCATCAATATTATTAAAAGGAAAGTTTATTTAATATTAGTTAGAATTGTTGGTTTGTTTAAGTTCATAAATTGTAAAGATATATATGATAACAAAGATAATAAAAAAATATGTCAAGAATTAAAAAATAAAATAAATCTGAGAATTGATCTAAATTATAACTAAGTTAAAAAAATAGATTGTATGATTTTAAAAAGTACTCTATTAGTAATCATCAAGAAGTATGTTTATATTGAAAGGATTAACATCATTAAAGCTCACCCAATTAAATTAGCATCTAATAATCTTAATTACTAATTAACTTTAGCTCTATGTGAATTCTTACATCCATCAAAAGGTTTTTATCTTTTGGAAATAAGCATTTAGAAATAAATGAAACAATGTACACAGATTTTTAAATAGTGAGAACTATAAAATCACTTTTACCTTCAGGTTGATTAAACAAAAATTAAATATAGAGACAAAAATATCCATTATTCATAAATCATTTAATTTTTTTTTATTATTTCCAATAGATTTAATAATTAAGATTTTTAAATATTTTTTAATTCTTGATTAAGAGAAATTTAATTTTTAAAAACATGGTTTAATGTTATTGTTATATTATTTGAATAAAATTCTGAATATAATTAATATTCTTATTTAAAGACAAAAAGTTCAAAAATGCTCTACCACAGAACAAGTAAATGATTAAAGTTAGATTTTATTAATCATTACTACCAGAAGCTAATTTATTTCCATCAGGTGAGAAACGGACTGATCAAAAAAGAGTATAAAATGTTGCTGATTAAAAGGTTGTTTCTCTAAAATATAAATTTGTTTTTATTTTATTTTAATGTTCCTCCCAAAAAAAATAAAAAAAACTATCTCAAACCTACCTTAATATAATAGGCTACAAAAAATAGTATTTTATGGATTTGATTAAGAAGATAAATTGGAAATAAACTTACTTATATAATTTTTTGTTTAGCAATTAGTTAGGATTATGATCAAACTAAAATAAGGGGAAAGTGATTTCATGTGTAAATAATCATAAAAGATATATGTTGAAAGATTTGATTTTAGAGTTTACTTTACAAATCTTGCTCTATTTACATTCTAAATATGTCATATTTTATTCCTCATTAGTTTAGGATTCAAAAGAATATCAAATAAGAAAATAAAATAAAGTGAAATATGAAAAAATAAATAACAAAAGTTTTAAGATTTTATTTACAGTTTTTTTATAAAAAAGGAAAGATGCAAAATAGAGAAAAAAAATCCTTTATCAAATTTTAAGGATTTGAACTCTATTGGAAATAACTTTATGAATTTTGATGATCTTAAACGATTGTTAATAATGACCAAATTTTAGGTGGTAGATATGCAAACAAGGAACTCTCAGGATTTTCTAATATTTTTAAACTAATAAGAAAGCAATAAACAGAAACAAAATAAACAAAATAACATATAATCCAAATAGTATATTTTGCTTATTTCTTTAGAATTATTTTGACGGCTTTATCGTAAATGAAAAAAAAAATTTAGTTTATTTGACTATAATTTTTTATACATGCCGAAAAACAAATGATCAAAGGTTAAAGGATTCATAATAAATAAGCCAAACTTTATTGGTTATTAAAATGCACTATTTCATAGTTTAAAATTACCAGCATTTTCTTTGTAATTTGAATATATAAATTCTTTATTTTTTTTATCTATTTCTCTTTTTTTAAGAAATAAGCACATAAAAAAGATATTGTTCTTGTAATTCTGTAAGAATAGATTGTAAAATATATGAAATTATGGAAAGTTTTTAATTTAAATATATATATAAATTAGCTTTTAAAGATTTTTTATGGGTGTTTTTTTATGAACGCTTTTCTTTATTATTACATAATAGTAATCAATGCAGACAAATTTAGCATAGAATTATAATACATTCGCTTATTCAAGATGATGATGTACAAATTTGATTATAAATAACACTTGTATTTATATAGAAAATTCATATTTTCCTTTATATTTAGGTTATTAGTTTTCATTCAAACTCATATTAAGTTTTTAAGTCAAAGTTACTAACTATATTCCCAATAACTAAGTCTCAGCACAAAATATCGATATAAAAAATATTTCTTTCCAACTTTGAAATACCCCAACAAATATCTTTTTATATTGTGAAGAAGAGAAAATTTTTCCTCAATAAATATCAAAATATATCTCGAATTGAATTGGATTGCTCCATACATTTATTGAATGTTTTTGAACAAATATACAGATGAAAAAATCATAAATCTATAAGTTAAGCAAATTATTGTTAAACCATAACAAATATTGTTGTTATTCATGCATAAATTTTTGGAAATTGAAGCCTTTGAATTCATTTTATTAATAAAAAAAATCCAAATAATCTTCCCTATGTAATTTGTTATTTCGTGCATTTTTTGTATACAAATTTATAAGTGAACATAAAGTTTAATGTATCTATCTATATATATTTATTTTGAAATTTTAGATGATTTTAATTTTAATTAAAAATTTCATAATATGGATAAAATATCATAAGTTTTCATTATTATTTATGAATATTCTTGTCAAATAAAAATTTTTCATATCTAACCCACTTTTCAATGATCATTCCTAGTTACAATCTTTAAATTTTATCCCTCCGATCAACATGACTGCAGCAATTAAGTTCCATTCTTAATTAGCTGAAATTATTTTAGGAAATTAAGAAATTTTCATTTAATTACATTAAATTAGCTATTTGTTATTACTAATAAGTTAATGACTGGAATTTAAAAGAAAAATAATATAAATAGAAAAAAAGATTAATGTTTTTTTCAAAGGTATATTGATTATTAACAGGAAATTTATTCAAAGCGAATGTAAAATTCTTAGGATTTGTGTATACTCATATTAATGTTGAAAATTATAAATTATGAAAAATTCTTTACCCTAAATAACTATTAAAGGAAACTGATTCTCAGAAGGAGAAATTAGAGAATATCATTTAAGACCGTAGAATAATTACCATTAAATCTAGAACATTATATTCAAATTAGAAGGATTGGATTAAATAAGCAATTAAATTTGGATAATGGGATTAAATATTGCAAATAAAAAATTTTATTCATTTAATAGACTTAATTCTTTAATGACATCATTTTTATTTAAAAATTTATTTGTAGAGCTTTATTCTTCACAAAAATATCTTCTTCTGAAAAATATTTTTGTAAATCAATTTTCCTGTTTTTATATGAGCATATCTTTGAATTATAAGCTTGGAAAATTAAATTACGAAATACCAATTTATGAAAGCTGAAAAGAGTATATATTTTCAAATAATTTATAAATATCTTAACAAGTGTATATTACTTAGATTAGTATGTAAGGAAAATACGACAGATAATTAAGCATAGAGGAAGGGTTGTAGAATTTTTGAACACATTTTATAACTGTTTATTAAATCTATATTTCTCATTTAAATAGAATTTTACTATAAAATCAAGTAACATTTGAAATTAAAATGAAAATTTTCATAATCTTTCTTTCATATACCAAAATTTCACGCAAAAATATATTGTTAAAAATAAAAACTTATTCTTTTAAAGCCTAATATCTTAACTGATTTAATTATGGATTCTTACTTAAACTTATTAATAAATCAAATTTTTTCACCCTTAAAAATAAAATTTATTCTTTAAAATAAACATATTTAAACTATATTGTAAAATATTTATATTATAACATTTTCAATTATCATATGTCATTGCACTAAGCTATTTATTTGTTTCTATATTCATTTCAATCCATAAATCAATTTTTTTACCATTTTTATATTAACCCTTATGAATTACCTACTTAGAGAAGCTAAATCTTTCATCCAAATCAATCCATTTTCCAGTCTTCATGCCATTATCCTCTTCATCATATGATCCACCACCACTAAAAATTTTAAATACGTAGTTTATGTTCAATATATTACATTTATTCATTATACCCAACAATATCCTTATACCAAATATCCCATTTACCAATTCTTTTACCATTTTTATATTCACCATTATACGTTACTTAACAATCTCTATAAAACCCTTCACTTATATCAATCCACTTTCCAATCTTCATACCATCAACTTCATTGTCATATGATCCACCACCACTAAAAATTCAATTTCAAGTTTTATATTATATTTTTTTACATTTTTTGATCATTTTTTCCATTATTATACCATATATCCCAACTACCAAATTTTTTGCCATTTTTATATTCACCTTAATAAGTTACTTAAGAATCATATTTAAATCCATCAATTATATCAATCCACTTTCCAGTTTTAAAGCTTGAACCTCCTTCATCATATGATCCACCACCACTAAAAATTTAAAATTCCACACCTGATAAAAAAATATTTACATCTTATTATTTTATTTATTATATCCATGCTCTTTAAACCAAATTTCCCATCTACCCACTTTTTCACCATTTTTATATCCGCCACTATATGTTACCTATTTATCATCATAAAATCCATCAACTATATCAATCCACTTTCCCGTTTTAATGCCTAAACCACCTTCATCATATTATCCACCACCGCTAAAAAATTTAAAATAACACACATGATAAAATAATATTTACATCTTAGTATTTTGTGTACAATGTTCATGCTCTTGATACCAAATATCCCATTTACCAATTCTTTTACCATTTTTATATTCACCATTATACGTTACTTAACAATCTCTATAAAACCCTTCACTTATATCAATCCACTTTCCAATCTTCATACCATCAACTTCATTGTCATATGATCCACCACCACTAAAATTCAATTTCAAGTTTTATATTATATTTTTTTACATTTTTTGATTATTTTTTCCATTATTATACCATATATCCCAACTACCAAATTTTTTGCCATTTTTATATTCACCTTGATAGGTAACTTAAGCGGTTACACAAAAATGTTCACTTAACTCTATCCATCTTCCGATTTTCTGATCTTTTCTTTAATTATCATATGATCCTCCTCCGCTAATTTTAAATCCAATAATAAAATTACATTGTTTAATTATTCCATTAAATTTTCCAATCTCCAATTCTTTTATCTTCTTAATAGTAACCTTCTTCAATTATATTCTTTTAACTAAGCAAATATTTTAATGTCAAAAATACTCCCAATAATTGTCACATAAATCAAGCCACTTTCCCTCCTTTTATCCTTTAATATTGAAATTACCACCTCCAATTTTTTCTCCTCTCCAATAATAGTTCCATTATTTCAATTTATTTCCGTTAATTCCATATTATCCTTTAAATTCCAAATGTTTGATTTACTCTAGATTGATCAATATTTTTTCATCTTTTTACCCCAAAATATACTTTTCACTTAAAAAACTAAAAAATTAATATACATTCTTAGAATTTATCCATCCTTTTTATAGATTTTATTTCTATTTATTTATTTTATGAGAATAAATGGTGTTTTAACTAATTGATTGTTGAATTACTATAATCCTTCTAAATCAATGATAAGTTCTTCTTTCTTTTTAATCGTCCTAAATGTAATTAACTTTTTTTACAAAATATTATGAATTTCTCCAATTAGATGACTAGACTTAAATAGATATTATATGAGTCCATCCAAAAATAATCCAACTTTTTACATTACAGAAGTTACCATTTTCTTTTTGTTAATTTATTCTTCAAAATTATTACCAACTAAAAAATCCACAAGAAAATCTAATTCTTATTAAGAACATTCAAAAGGATTCAAATCATTTTTCAAAAGGTTTAAAAATTTATTATCTTCTGATATCAAATCGTCTTAAATTCTTTTAATAGAATCCCTTATATTCATAAAAATTAAATCAATTTCTTATTCTATTAGATCAAATTGATTTAGAAATGGTTTAAATAGTGATGTACATTAATTTTAGTCCAATACATATTTCATGTTTACTTAATTGGCTTTTAAAAGTAATTATTGGAGGATTTCTTTTTTCGATAATAATTTGTCATGAGGAATTTTTTGTGTTAAAATACATTCTACGCAAACTTTTCTTGCAAAATTTTGGTTTTTATTGCCAATATAAATGCCTCCAATCTAAAAATTTGGATGCTCTTAACAATATTCCTGATTTGATATCATAGAAAATAAATTAAAAAAATTATGATTATTGAATTAAAGATACCAAATTTAAACAACATTTATTAGAATTTTAATTATATATGAGAAAAATTTATTAGCAGGAAGCTATATTTTACTCTTAATCAATCAATAGAAATTATTTAAAAACTTTGAATATCAGGTATTATTTGTTTCTGAATTACAGATTTCCGAAAATTTTCTTAATATTTTAATTAAAATTATATACAAATAGAATAAAAATTTATAATTAAAGCAATTATTCAAAAGTAAAACTTATGATCAAAAAAATATTTGAATAATCAAGTGAAAACAATGGAATTAGCAAAATCAATCCTATAGAATAATAAATTTTTAATTGATTAAATTAGGTTCTACAAACAAGATTGAAAAGTTTTTATAGAAGTAATAAATCAAAGAATAAGTAAATTAAATTAATGATCAAAACAATATTTTGTGATCAATGATTAATTTAATTAAACATTATGAATTAATTATGGCTTTATATGTTACCTAATCTAAAATATAATTAATTTTTGTATTAATTTCTCTATAAAGATAAAAACAATGGCTGAATTTAATTTTTAAAAGAAGTTCGTTAATGTTAATCAATTAATCGTTATTAAATTTGATTTAAGGGAATGCCTTATCAAAATTAATAACATGATATATTTTAATAAATATAATTATTCATGAAGGCTAATTATTTAGTCTCTATATCTAACCTTCTTAATAGTTAAGTATTTTAATTTTATTTAAGTAATTTCCATAAATTGGATAGGTATTTAAATTTTCTATATATTTTCTTATTGAAATTGTTTTGAAAGCTAATTATTAGAATTTATTTAGTTTGAAATTAGTCTATTATTCCATATGATTGAATAATACCAAATAATCATTATCATCAACTATTTTCTGATTGATGTTAATTTAGTAGTTTTGAAAGTAGAAATATAGAGAGTATGATTATGAGATTATTTGCACAAGATAATGAAAAAAATTTTTGCTTATTGGTATATTAAATTAAATAGAATAGAGCGATTTAAAAAATTTTATATAAGATTGTACCTGCATTTTGTTATTTGATGAATTAAAAAATTAAATCAATTTAAAAGTATTGATAACTAGTTCGGGCCTAATATAAATTGAAGATGTGAAATTTTATTCATCTTAAAATCCCTGAAAATTTAAGCTGCTTATCTTGTACTTTTTTATTAATTGAAGATTTTCTTGTCTTTTAAGTTCTATTTTACTCTTCTCCAAGCCATAGGCTATCAAATATTGTTAAATTTAATTCAATATAAAAATTCTAATAAAAATTGAGTTTTTTTGGTATATTCTTTGGATAAAGGATATTTAAGATATTATTAATTTTCGAATGGAGATACTTCTAAATTATGTAGTTCTTAAAAGATGAAAATTATACTAATCTTACCAGCACAAATTGCCTTATGAATAATCAATTTAAATAAAGTCTTAATGGATTTTTTATCTTTCTATTAAATTTTCAAAATTATAATTTAAACTTAATTCTCTTGATTACTTTAATATCATAAAGGGGTATTTTTTAAGAGAATAGATTAATTGACACCTTACATGATTAAATTGAAATATTTTACGATTATTGCAAACTTAAATTAGAGGTAGAAAAAAGGAATAATAATAATATAAATCGAAATGAAAGCTTTAGACTGTGTTTCATAGAGTAAACATAAGGTTATGAATAATCAACCTAAAAAATTAGAAAAATAATCAACTTTTGTAGAACAAATTCACTTTATGAACTTCTTTTTGTTAATTTTAGGCTATATTAATGAACTTCTATATAACTCATTGATAATCTAATCAATAATACCTTAAATTTTATGGTTTCCAATTATTAATTATGAAAAAAGTTGTGTAAGAATGTGTAATGAAATACGTTTTCCTGCTACAAAAATATATTAGAAATACTTGAGATTAACACTAGCTCAAAAGTCATTTAAGCGAAATTGATATCTGAAATGATATTATGTTTTATTTCATATTAGAGAAATAATATTTTAATAATTATCATTATCTATTTATCAATTTTCCTATTAAATCAATCAAGTAATACTGAAAAATGGATTGCATTGAAATTTGAAACTATGAAATAAGCTTTATAATTTTAATCTAATAGAATATTATGATCAATAACTTTGTGAAATTTTTCTCATAATTACTAATACCTTACTGTAAGAGTCATTATATATTTCGAAACTCCCATCAGTAAAAGGATGAAGAATATAAACATTTTTATTCCCATCTTCTCTCGCATAAAAATTTGCCAAAAAAAATAAGATATTACAAACTTTCGCTTAAGTAAAAATTAAAATTTATGTTTAAAAGAATACTTCCTTGATTTTTTATCAGTATAAAGTAATCTTTTAGTTTAGATGAAGCAAATCTGCTTCTGCAATATTTGACAGCTTAATGTATGCTAAATTAATACTGATATTGAAATGTTGAAATAAACAACTTAAAGGTTTTGAAAATATGAAGGTATTGATACAACTAAACAGTAAGGGTAAGTATATTCAGATATTAAAAGGATATCATTTTGAGAGAAAAAAAGTGTTCATTAACCTTATTATTTTTCTAAACTTATTCTTTAGTATTTACATTATTAGATTAGCTACCCTTTTATATTCAAAAAATATAAACAATTTTTTTGACAAACTCAAAAAAAAAAACCAAATGTTAATATCATTTTTAGAGTTTTATATAAAACTTTGTTCAGTCAATATTTTTGGGTTTAGATTTAATTTAATTTATTCGAAGTTCTCTCTTAGTAGATAGTTTTGAACAAAAATGACTTTTTTTTTTATTATGTTTAAATTATGAGGCATCAATTGTTATAATTAGTGTAATATCAAATATAGTGATATATTCTCATTATTCTTTATTTTTTTTCCTAAAATTGAAAGAGGTTTTGTGGATCTTTCATTGCTTGAGAACTTCCTAATCAAAAAATTTATCTTTGTGCAAAATCAATCAACTCCTGTTGCTAAAATTCACTGAATCAATTTTTTTTTCTCATTAACCTATTTTACTTAAGAACCTATAAGAAATTGATTTATAAACTATGATAATATTTCTCATCATTAACATCTTCTTACAGCAAAATTAATTTTCTATCATTTTTTCTTAAATGCTTGACAATCTATCACTCAAGGAGACAACAGAATAAAGCTAGGCTTCATTTAATTACTGGGTTAAACTATCCAACAATAGTTTATATAGTAATTTAGATTAAGATTATTAGAACTAAACTAACATATTTTGAGTTGACAGATAAGTTATAATTTGATATTAAACATCTAAATATGAGCAAATATCTAGCCTAGAATAAATTAGGATCAAAGATTCAATCCTCTTTCTTTAATTTTTATACTCATCTGTGTCTTCCACATCCTTAAAATAATTTAAAGTTCTTTGTCTGAGTTTTAATTTTCCACAATAACTTTAAAGAGATATTATTTTGATCTAATCTATTTATGAGAAGAAATATTCAAAGAATTGAATAAATGTTGAGAAATAATAATAATATGGATTTCTGTAATATCTAGTTTAACTAATTTGGCGAATGCTGGGAAATTCAAACTAGCTATTTGTAAAATTTTTAAATGGGCTAAAAATTTTAAAAAAAATGAAACATGCTTAATAGTAAAAGAGTATTCATAAATGATTATCAATAATTCAAAGCCATAAATTGGGTATCAAAACTCATTAAACAATGCCAGATAAAAAGATTACATATCATAATTAGAAAAAAATAGTATAATAAACCTAAGTAAAATTATAATCGTATTACCAACAATCACACCTTAACTTTCTTATTTATACTTATCTAGCTTGTTTTTATTGGCATATTTTAAAGTAAAATAGTTACTTATTCTAATTTAAAAAAACCTCCACCACAATGGTTGTATTATCTGCCCATAGACAGATGAATTGATGAAAAAAGACTTTTGAACAACCAGAGGAATTATGATTTAATTGGTAATTTATAAAAATCATGGAATAAAATTCTAAATAAAGAAAACCATAATTTGCAAATTTCATTTAGTAATTTATTTTATATATCTTTTGGATCAATTTTTATTATTGTTATAAAAAATTATTGTACTTTTTAATTAAGTAATTTTCAGATATTAAGTAGTATTATTTATCATGTTAATATATAATTAGATATGATTTCATTTAAAAAAAAAGTAAATTAAATCATAGAATATAAATTAGCATATGTTAAAACAATAACTTTATTTTAGATAAAGGTTATTTGAAGAAATAGAGAATGGAAAGCTTTAGACTATTATGATTCAGGTGTATCAGAAAAAGGTAATAATTATGAATAATCAAAGTCAATTTGAAAAAGTATTGAATAAATATACTTGGCTATTTAAAATCTAAATAATAAACATTTATTACCACTTAATTTTAAGAAATTTAATGTCCACCCAATTTTTTACCTAATTATCAAAAAATTTCAAATTATTACTTCCTTTGAATATCAAACAATTAACAGCTTTAATTTATAAATAAAAATAGTATTTTGCATAAACTAAAAATATACCCTTTTAAGAATTTTTTCAAGAAATAGGGCAACTAAAAGAATATTGATGATATTCATCTTCAAATATTAAATTCTATCATCAAGTTCTTCAAATCCTTTTATTTGTAAATTTCCACAAATAATTAAATATTCTCCATATACTTTATGAAACTAGAATCACATGAATAAAATGTACTAATTTCCATAAAAATAAAATTTTTATTTCATACTTTAACTAATATTTAAAGATTATAGAACTTATTTATGATTGAATTATATTTTGCTTTATTAGGCATATATAAATCAAAACTAAGTTCAAATGAATAGTTTGAAACATTATATATTAAAATAATGTATTCCATATTAATAAAGAATTGAGCTCCACAAATATTGAAATGATATATAAATAGCTGATTCTACTTCAATATTAAATCTTAAGAAATTTTGGTTTTCTTCTTGAGAAAAATGCATAAGATACTTTTTGTTTGATGGTATAAACTTGAAAAAAAGAATAATAATTCAATATTTATTTTATTAAAAGAAAATGAATTGCGCTTAGGAATAGAAAGAAGATTTGTATAAACTTTTGGCTTCAACAAAAAATATTGATGAAAAAGTATTCAGGGTCATAATCGAAATGCTTAGAAAAAAGAATAACTCTGATTGTTTAGAATTTCTTTTAAATGAGGATAACCAAAAGTATTACGGATTATACATTGATAAGTAATAAAAATTAAATGACATAACAAATGACATTAAGAAAATTACTACAGTTATGAAAAATATTGGCGAGCATGATTTTAATAAAAATAATTACACTTAGAAAATCTATTAGAAAAAAAAGCAATATTTAATTAATAAAATATCTAAAGAAAAGACCATTATCAATTTTTTTAAATTTTTAGTTCACCTCACAGCAATCGATAAGAAAATGATATAATGTGGGTCAAATTCCCTTCATTTATTAGTAGAAATGAAAGTTGATCTGAAAAACCAATGCTTTGAAAATATACAGATTAGAAATACTTCTTTAATTGGAGCTAATTTTGTAAACTGTAATTTTAGTGGATCTTAATTTGAAAATGTAAATATAAGCGGACTGAATTTAAACGGAGCTTAATTATTTTATTGTAAATGGACTAATTTACTTATAAATGAGTTACATCAATTAAATGGTCATAGTAATAGTGTTTAATCAGTAAGCTTTTCTCATGATAGTACTAAGTTAGCATCTGGTGGTGAAGATAACTCTATCCTTTTATGGGATGTTAAGACAGGACAACAAAAATTTAAATTAGAAGTACATAGTAGTTCTGTCCGATCAGTTTGCTTCTCTCCTGATGCTACTCTTTTAGCCTCAGGTAGTGATGATATGTCTATCTGTTTATGGGATGTGAATACAGGACAAAAAATATTTAAATTTGATGGTCATATTGATAGTGTCAATTCTGTATGCTTCTCTCCTAATGGCATTACATTAGTATCTGGAAGTAATGATTGCTCTATATGCTTATGGGATATTAAAACAAGAAAAAAAAAAACTAAATTATTAGGGCATAGTGATTATGTCACATCTATATGCTTCTCTCCTGATGGTACTAAATTAGCATCTGGTAGTGGAGATAATTTTATCCTTTTATGGAATGTAAAGACAGGGCAATCAAAATTTTAATTAGAAGGACATAGTGATAGTGTTAATTCAGTATCCTTCTCCCCAGATGGTAATAAATTAGTGTCAGCTAGCGATGATTGCTCTATTCGTATTTGGGATGTTCAAACTGGAGAACAATTATCAAAATTGTATGGTCATATCGATAGTGTTTAATCAGTATGCTTCTCTCCTGATTGCACTGCATTAGCATCTGGTAGTTCAGATAACTCTATCAGTTTGTGGGATGTTAAGACAAAAAAATAAAAGTTTTAATTATAAGTACATAGTAGTTCTGTCCGATCAGTTTGCTTCTCTCCTGATGCTACTCTTTTAGCATCTGGTAGTGAGGACAATTTAATCAATCTATGGGATGTTAATACAGGACAAAAAATATCCAAATTAGATGGTCATAGTGATAGTGTCAATTCAGTAAGCTACTCTCCTGATGGTACTGCATTAGCATCTTGCAGCGATGATTACTCTATATGTTTATGGGATGTGAAGACAGGACAAAAAATTATTGAATTATAAGGACATAGTGATTATGTCTATTCAGTATGCTTCTCTCCTGATGGTACTGCTTTAGCATCTGGAAGTGCAGATAACTCTGTTCTCCTTTGGGATGTTTAGACTAAAAAACAAAAATTTTTATTATAAGGACATAGAGATTATGTCTATTCAGTATGCTTCTCTCCTGATGGTACTGCTTTAGCGTCTGGTAGTGCAGATAGCTCTGTTCTTTTATGGGATGTTAAAACAAGAAAAAAAAGGTTTTCATTATAAGGACATAGTAGAAATGTCACATCAATAAGATTTTCTCCTGATGGTACTACTTTAGCATCTGGCAGTGATGATTGCTCTATTTGTTTTTGGAATGTTAAGATAGGATTACAAATATATAAATTAGAAGGTTAGAATTTCGAAGTTCGATCATTATGCTACTCCCCTGATGGTACTATATTAGCTTCTGGTAGTTCAGATAACTCTATCAGTTTGTGGGATATTAAGACAAGAAAACAAAAGTTTTAATTATAAGGACATAGTAGAACTATCACATCAATAAGCTTTTCTCCTGATGGTAAAACTTTAGCCTCTGGGAGTAATGATCGCTCTATTTGTTTGTGGGATGTTTAGACAGGCAAAAAATCAATATCATTAGAGGGACACAGTGATTATATCCAATCTGTATGTTTCTCCCCTGATGGAACTACATTAGCATCTGGTAGTGGAGATAACTCAATCCGTTTATGGTAAATTAAGACAGGATAAAAAATTTAACCCTTGAATAAAGATTAGTAAGGAATTTTTGAAAAATTAAAAATACCCTTTTTAAATAATTCATTTTCAGAAAGTGGTATGTAATTTTATTTTATTTAGTTAATAGTAATTTTACTATTTTAACTATATCAAATTAACCCCCCGTATTTTCAGCATAAGGAGCATTAATATTCAAAGGAGAATTTATAAATCATTTTGGCTTAGATTTACTATAGTTATTTAAATAAAGAGGATGCTGTATTTTGGAAAGCTAATCAGAATTTAAATAAAATACAAAACAAAAATGATTATTATCAAAAACATTATAAATATAAAATATTAATGGAAGTGGTTGTTAATTTTCAGATCCTAAGTAGTCTTATCTTACACAATTTTATGTGGCGATTTGTATGATATATGTTGTTGTTTTATTATAAATTTTTTCATGAGTATGTGTTTCAGTTTTTTACAAAAGTGAAGAGTCAAATTTTGATGGATGTTAACTGAAGACTCTTTTAATGCAAAAGGATTAATCAGCTTTTGTAAGAATTGAAGATGGAATATTGTTAATTGCATGCCACAGAAGAATTTTAAGTAATTTGATGATAAATGTTGATAGGTAGAAATTATAAATTCTGCTAATGATCTGAAATATTTTCATCCTTAATATTTAAATTATTTTCAAAAGTAAAAACTAAATCTATTTATAATCTTCTATCAGCTTCGTTAAATAAACAATAAAACATATCGATTTGAATTAATTGAGTCTTTATTAAACAACTAATCCTTACCCTTATCTTAAGACTTAATAATAGATTTAAAAATGATTAAAAGAGCTGATGGTTGTAATCATAAATGGTTAATCTAAATTTTTTTGAATTTTATTATGATTAGTTTTTATCAAGCTAATAGTGTAACAAATTTGAAGAAAAGGAGACTAAAATAATAAGTGTGAACAAAAATAAAAACTGTATTTGGTTAGAAAAATAAGCACTTTTGGATAAATAATATAGAATATTGAAATAACATGAAATTAACTAATTATTATTAATTTTATAAATTAATAATCCTATTCTATATCATAAAAGATTAAGCTTAACAAATAAAGGAATGAACCAGATTTACATCAAATACAATGAATTTCAAATCTTTAATAAGTCTAGTCATCATCTTCACAAAAATACACAAGATACTTTTTTGGTTTATATTTGGAAAAGTAATAGAAATTGGAAATATTATTTTTAAGATAATGTTTTGCACTTCTCATCCTCAATAACCAATATCTTTAGTATGTGTGGCTGAACACAAGTGTAAATGTTAAAGAAAGATGTGTGTTGAATGTCTAAATGAACACGGAGTAGAGATTAAACAAGCAGTTCCGATTAATAAATTTCATGAAACGCTTCTAAAGAAATTGAAAGAAAACCAGTTGGAGGATACATCAGAATTAATTAATAAGAAAATAGGCTTCAAATAATTGCTATCTGAAACTGAAGCTATTATGAAGAAGTTATGGGAAGATTTAGCATCTTCAATTAAATTGATCTATGAGATGATTGAGTAAGAAAATAATTCCTACATTAATCTCATCATAAATAATGATAATTTAGCAGAATCTTCTTTTATTGATTTGGAAAAATTAGTTTAAATACAGAATGGGAGAATTTTAGACGATTGGAATTATAAAAAAAATTCTTATGTGTTGGAATTGGATAAGGCTAAGTAGTGGCTTGAAATAGAAGTGAAAAATTTCAACTAAAAATTTAAACAACAAATTAATGAGATTTTATAGATGTTTCGGTATAATTTAACAACATTTTCAAATAGGATTGAAACGAAAAAGCAATGGATATGGAAAGAAGGTACCCAACAACTAAGAGGATTCTTTTGGAATTATACTTTTAGCAAACTTTTGAAGCAAACAACAACACTCCAAATAAACTTTACATTGGACAAAGAAATTTAATATTTCAGAGATGGATCTATGCTAAGAATGTAAGAGTTCATTAAGATTAACTTAGAGATAAAAAAATAGACACTACATAGAAGCCAGAAATTTTAACTAATTTAGAATAAATCGAAAATTTACAATGGTTTGGACAATATGGAGATAATAATAAGTAAATAGGCAAATGGATCGCAATATGGAGGGGTGAAAAAATATAGGATGTTGGTGGAGAGTACTCGAATGATTGAAAAAAATAAGGTCTTTGGATAGATTTGGCAAAAAATTATCAGAAGTTAGTTAATATTTGTTAACTAATAGATAAGCATAAGTGCTTGAAAAAGGCTAGTATTAGGGTGGCCAAAGAATTGGTGTTTGGAAGTTACTTTTCGAATATAACGAGATATATCTATTATATTATAAAATAACTAAGAGGTGGTGGGGTCTATGAAAATGGAAAGAAAAATAAAAAATGGTAAGAATTGAGTGAAAGCTTTGATAAAAATTGTTAAGTAACTTACAAAGGTTAATATAAAAATGGTAAGAAAGTTGGTAGATGGGATATTTAGTATAGGCCTGATGTAGATAAACCATTTAGTACAATGTAATATATATTGTATAAAAGTTTCTATTAGTGGTGGTGGTTAATATGATGAAGCAGGTGATGGAATTAAGTTCGGTAATTGGGTGGAAATATCAGATAATTATTATGATGACTCTTAAGTTATTTACAAAGGTTAATATAATAATGGTAAGAAAGTTGGTATATGGGATATTTAGTATAGGTATGATGTAGATAAACCATTTATTACAATGTAATATATATTGTATAAAAGTTTTTATCAGTGGTGGTGGTTAATATGATGAAGCAGGTGATCAACTTAAGTTAGGTAATTGGGTGGATATATCAGATAATTTTAATTATGACTCTTAAGTAACTTACAAAGGTTAATATAAAAATGGTAAGAAAGTTGGTAGATGGGATATTTAGTATAGGTATGATTTAGATAAACCATTTATTACAATGTAATATATATTGTATAAAAGTTTTTATCAGTGGTGGTGGTTAATATGATGAAGCAGGTGATCAACTTAAGTTAGGTAATTGGGTGGATATATCAGATAATTTTAATTATGACTCTTAAGTAACTTACAAAGGTTAATATCAGAATGGTAAGAAAGTTGGTAGCTGGTTTAAAATGACTAAAGAATATTTTAATAATTAAATAACGCAAGAAAAAATTCTCTATGATTATTGACATTATAAAAATTGAACATCAATATAATATTAGATTAATTAATGTTACATATACTTTTCTATTATTTTTAAACTTGAATATCCTTCTATAATGATTATTTTTATTTACTCACATATTTTTTTTTGTCAAAGAATTACTTTTTTTTATTTATTAATTAGAAAATAATTTAATTAAACTTTTTCATATTGTGGAAATTTTTTCTAATTTTTAAAACTGGTTTTAGGTTGCTTCTATAAATTTAATACATTAACAATAGTTATTTATTGATAATTTCTTATTTTTTTATTTTAAATCTTTTTTTAGTTTATTTAATTAAATTTATTTTCCTTTTTGTCAACTATTCTTTTAATTTCATTTTTTTATTTTTCTACATTTTATTTATTGCCTATATTATAAAAATAATAATGCATTTAGATCTAAATCTCCAGTTTATTGCTTTTGGTGTTATCTCCACCTTTAAATTGATTGCTTGCTTGATTTAATTTTTATAAGGCCTCTCTAATTTATTGAAAAATTTCTTTTAATCATTATGGTCATAAAGATAACAGGTTTCTTGAATTAAACTGTTATTTTAATCATTCCAGAATCTCAACCAGTTTTTTTATTTTCAAAAACATAACATTTCCTTACTTGATTCTGCTATTTGTCTTTTCGAGGCAACATTCACTTTATTAGCTATTAATCAGAACAACCAAAGTAAAATAATCATAATCAATTACTAAATAATTATTAGATTGCGAAATATAGCACTTATATAACTCTAGAAGATTGAAGATTTTTTTCTTAATAGTAGGAGTAATTAACGAAAATGATTTTAATTACATCTTTGATGTTTTACTTTCAAGAATGAAAAAAATTTAACCATCTACTAACATAGAAGAAATAAAAAATTATTCTGTAGAACTCATGAATTCTCCTAATTTAGAAATAATTAAATTATTTCTTTTGGTCTGGTGTATATGGGTAGTTTAACAATAAAGTAGCAAAATTGATAAAATCATGGAAATGTGAAATTTAAAGATATGTTGGTGGATATTATATTATTATATTAAAATTTTTGAAATTAATTAGTTTGTAAATAATTAATGAATTTTATTCATCTAGTTTTCTAAATTTTGAGTAGTTTAAGGTCTTAAAAATTCTCCAATTATAATTTATGACTATTAGAATTATAATAAATTAATTATTATTACTTATTATTGAAATATTCCTTAAATAAAACTTATTCAATTTTTATTTTAAATTGAGAATATCCTCTAAAATATACAACCAAAGAATTAAAAATTTACAAATGCAAGTGCAATTATAAAAAATTTTAATTACGAATGAGCTTGAAATCTTTCATTCAATAAATCAATGGTACAATTTATCTGGTAATTTAAAATCTGATTAAATAAAAATCATATTCTTTGAATTGAAATGAAAAATTAAGTCCTCAACCAAATCAAAATCAAATAACTTTACAATATTTAATTTAAATTACAATATTGAAATATTTAGAAATTTGCTTAATATTATCTCAATATTAAAAATAGAAATGTCTAATTTTGAAATTATCAATATAATTTGCATAGCAAAATAATATGTAAAAAATGTGAAAGCCTTAAAAAGATGATTTATCATGTTCTTGATAATCAAAAAGAATATAATTATAAAGCAAGTGTTTGTTCATTTAATTAGCAAGTGTAGTTATTAATTAAAATTAGTAATCATCTTTTGATTAATTATTCTATATAAATCCTATAAAATTATAAATTGTTTGTAATGTTGGTTATTTCAGAACTATACTGATTAATAGATAGTTTTTTTGGAATGTTTAAAAAATTCTAAAGATTAGAAATAACTTCATTTGTTAAAAATCATACATCATATAAAAAATACAGAAAAACTAATATAATTAATTATATTAGTATGTTTTGAAAGTTCAGAACCATATATATTTAGACTTTATGATCCATAATCTTTTTCAAAGATAAAAATATATTAAATATTATAAAACTTTTAATTACTTTTATAAGGATTCAAATCTTTTGTTTAAATTAGAAAGAGCTAATATGAAGAAAAAATCAAACTAAACTTTCTTTATTGTACTATCTGTTCTATGAATTAATTTTGAATCGTTTATATGCAACAATGCATGATTATGGAAATAAAGAACATAATTATCATCTTCATATATACAATATAATCTTTATTAAATTAAATTTTATATATATCTTAGCTAATAAATTTAACAAAATTTTCATAATGCTACCTCATTTCTTTTATTTTTAAAAAATTAGCGGCCAGATTAAAAATGAATCCTACCTTTATCTAATGAAATTTTTGGATTGTTTTTGAAAATACATATAAACTACATGCTCTATTAATCTATAGACCATCATAAATAAAAAAAGTAAAATTTTAACTTATTACATCCCTTTTATTCTTCATATAGACAGTATTTATTAAGCTAGAACTGATATATTTTTACATACAATTATATCATTTTATATTGCGATTATATTCAGATACTTATCCCAGAAAAACATCAATATTGATAGGTTCAAATTTATTTGCATCCTGAGTTCTAGTCAAAACATGAGAATTTCTTATTAATAAAGCCTTGAGTGTCTTGATTGTAACATTATTCTTAGGTATCATATAACTTCCTCTCAGGATTATTATCTTCATAAAGCCATCTTTCACCATAACATTAAGAACACATTTTTACCAAGGCTGGTGTTTTGGATTGATTACATCCATTCCTTATCTTTAAATTTAAGTCGCAAAATCTTCAATGCTTAATAATACTTAAGTGTTCACTACAAGATACTTTTATCCAATTGAGTAATCTTAATTAAACATACTTTTCCATCTATGCTCACCTGCTAAAAAGAATTTATCTTTATTCCATTTATATCTAGGATATGTTGGAAGGGACATAAACTTGGAAGGCCTTTATCTTTCCCATATGACACCCGCTCCACATTAATTTAGAATAGTTTTAAATAGCCCCCATTAGTTGAAACTTTTTAATGTAGGAATATTTCAATTCAAAGTATACTTCCCTTTAAGTTTTCTCCTAATATGTATTATTCTTAATTTACCTAATAAGATTTTAATCCACTTAACTTAATTGCTTCTGCTTTAAGAGAGTTTCAAAAATTTAATTAATATCCTTGTCTTAAATATCTGTTTAATTTTAATTTATAATCCATTCAACAATAGATAAATGTTTAAATGTTTAATAATATTCATTTCCTAACCAGAACTCCATTACAAGAATGGAATTCCAAATCTGGTTATTGGCCACAAACTCCACAAGGGTTTGGGTTTGGGTTT